AGCTTTTATTCATGAACTTAAAAATCAGCTTGGGAACATGGTACGCATAATTGACTATATGGGTATAGTTTAAGAATTTCATCTTGAAAAGGCAGAGACACTGGCGGGTCATGTAACTCCCGATTTTTGAGATTTTTTTTTATAAAGTCATGTTTGGTATCGATTGAAATCTAAATCAAAGTTAACAATTAATTTTAATAACATATTTCATAGAACCCATACTTGTTTAACTTTTATCAAAATTTACTAAAAACTTAATTTTAATCTTCATCAAAACAGGGATAAAATTACAATAAATTTGAATTTTTCTCTTTTTCTTCTCTTCCTCTCTTTTACTCTTTTCCTCACGTCTTTTAACAAAATCTTAACCCTTCTAATTTTTTAAAATTTGTATATAATTTCTCTGTAAATTATCACATTTACTACAACTTTTCAAGTAATTGGAACCTAAATTTGTATTTTCTCATATTAAACTGTGTATATAGAATGTGTCTAGTCACATGACCCCCAACTTTTGAGAGTTGTTTTTTATAAAAAGCCTGTCTGCCAGCACTTTTTCCCCAGATTTTCAGTCGTTTTCTGACCGTTGCCAGCCGCAATTTTGGACTTTTCTCTCACACTTCACTTTGGCAACGGACTGAAAATTGCTTTTAATTTTGTCAAAACGTGCTGCCAGACAAGACCAAAATGATGTTTGGTATCGATTGAAATCTAAATTTTAATCTAAATTAAAGTTAACAATTAATTTTAATAACATATTTCATGGAGTTTATAACTGTTTAACTTTTATCAAAATTTATTAAAAATTTAATTTTAATCTCCACCAAATATAAGCAAAATCACAATAAATTTGAATTTTTCCCTTTTCTCTTCCTCTCTTCTACTATTTTCCTCACGCCTTTTAACAAAATCTTAACCCTTCTAATTTTTTAAAATTTGTATATAATTTCTCTATACATTATCACATTTACTACAAACTTCACTTTCCAATCAAATTTTCAAATAATTAGAACCTAAATTTACATTTTCTCCTATCAAACTGTGTATATGGAATGTGTCTGAACTCATTATATCCAATTTAACTTATATTTAACGAATTGTGTTTATTTGATTGATTATTAGTATTGAATATTAGTCATATGTTTTTTCTTTCAATTACTTGAATTAACTGTTTGTATTAAATACATTACGAGATTTTTAAATGTAAATATGAATTTTCTTGTGATGAATAAAACATTAATAAAATGTCTCTTCGAAATAAAATGGATGAAAATGATTAGCAAAATATTAGAAAAGAAATATTTTTTAAATGTAAATCTGCATTGTCTCAAGTCAAGTTTGTATCATTAAAAAATCAAGAACAATGTATTCAATTTGTACAGGGTTTGATTGTGCCCCCTAACTCAAAATGTCTACGTCCACCCAGCCGCAGAGATGTAGTGTATTTTTCCTTTATTTCTTTGACCACCATGGCTTACAAAGTAATTATTTCCTTGTGTTTGAGTATAATGGGATTTCAACATTTGAGGTTATGATTTTCATTTTTTCAGGTATTAAAGTTTCGTATGAGGAAAGATCATAAATTCTGAAATCACCTCTAATTTGTGTATCCTTTTCTAGAGTAAGTTTTGTGAACCATTGATTACGGCTCAAGTATTTCTTCTGTTAAATGATTGCTTTTTATCTTGTAGTTGTGGCTGGCAAGTTTGCAAGTAGATACTTGCCTGTATTTGTGTGACGTGCCCAAGGATACCTCAAGCACTTCGATGAAATATTACTGTTAATCCTAGAGGCAATGGAGTTCAGCGTCGCTTCATAAGTTGGGTGGGAAGAATACAAATAGGCTAAAAATATAAACATCAGGGATACATGTATTTTGAGCTTGTTGGTGATAGGTTGACTATTGTTCGAGTTTACAGAGTGTCTCATGTCGATGCATCACTCATTCCCATCTGATTCATCTCTTACAGATTTGTGTGGTTATGTTAATTTCATTTCCCCACCAATTACTGAATTTAGAAATGAACATTTTCAATTTTTTTTTTTCATTTTATTCTCTAACTCATTTTAACCATTTGTTATTATTATTATTATTTATTTATTTATTTTGGGGGAATTTGAGCATCTGTTCATTATTTATCTTTGCTTTCGACTTTTGTTTAATAGTTGCTTCTACCAAATGGATGAGCAAGCCAATCCATAATCTTTTTATGCTAGCCTTTTAAAGCAGTCAAGTAGTAACGGAGTCACAAAAAGAGCTTCTAAGTTTCATTTTTCATACTCTGTATTTCTCGCATGATGTTTTTCCCATTAATTTTGTTTGCGGAAGAATGATCAATTTCATGCTTTAACATTTCATCTTTGTTTTCTTGTTTCAATGTATATATATTCATTTATCTACTTTTGAATACATTATATGAGGTGTTCAAAGATTTGTTGATTGTCTAACATTCGGTTTTAAACTTGAATGTAATTATAATTTTTTTCCGTTGTTTGACCATGTATTGTTTGTGATTTTTAATCCCTTTTTTCACATTGTATTCCTTTTTGGATATCTTTAAGCTATTCGACATGCTAACATGTACGGGCGAAAGACTAATATTTAAAAAACCATGAACTTTTTTGTTATAATAATTGATAATATCATGATTGTTGTAGTTATGGGCGGACCCACATGGGATCATGTGGGGGTAAAGTGACCCCAAAAAAAATTTGGTTTTTTTTTTTCTCCAATAAATTTGTAGCTGTTTTGAACTCTTTATGGCAATATACAACTTTTCTCAAATTCATATATTAAGTGAAATTTTTTTTTATTGTCATTTATAGTCTATTTTGACGTACTCATTACGGAATGCCAAATGAAATCGAAATATTGAATTCTTAATACCATTTCGAAGTGTTCACGGCCTAATTTTTTGCTCATTAATGACGTGCGAAACGGTCAATTGAATAAAAAGTCATGGTGCGTCAAAATAGATCGTTCTAAACTAATATTTCTAGAATTTCGATAATATGCTAATTTTAAAAGTTCATCGGCTATCATACGTAGTCGAATCCACAAATCACCTATGTCATCTAGAAACTCATTTCGAGAACTACATTGTAGTCATATCGAATGGTCCAAACGGATATCACAAATAGTTAAACATGCGTCAAACACACGTTCAAAAAGAGGCATTTAACTTGTATTTCTTTTAAAAAATTCAATTATTTCATTAACGTTTATTATTTTTGAATGATAAAATTTTCAATATAATTTACATAATTTTATTAGAAAAATTTACATGAAATATGACGTCAAAACTTATAGAATCATTACGAATTAAATGTAATTTGAATTACTTTCGAGTTACATTTGCATTAAATTTGAATTTTATTTAAATTCATTTACTTCCTACATTCATTTTGATTTACTCGTCACCAGCCCAACATCTGTCAATGAGATGGTAAGCAAAACTATATAAGTAGCAAAATCCGTTTGAAAATATTGATAATAATGTAATTATAAAACGTTTTCAAAGTATCAAAACGTGTATTAACTTATTTTCATTAATATTATATATTTTTTTAAATGCGTTTTAATTTTTACCCCACAGCACAAAAGGTTTGGGTTTGGGTCCACACTTGGCTGTGGTTATGATCAAATACCTACCTATCAAACTTGTCAAAACCATCACTAACGTCCACTACTAGCCCTCATCACTACAGCCACACTTGTCACTAAAAGATTAGGAAGTCTTCATTTTTTGTATTTATTTTTCTCAATCCAAATTAACGTCAACAATAAAGACAAAAAATCTCATTAAAAATGGTACTCTCTGTATAAAAACAAGGTCAACGAAATATCTTTAGCACGTGTTTCGTGAGGAATTAAATTTTGATTTTAATTTAATCTAAAGTTGACAATTAATTTTAATTATATATTTTATGAAATCCACAACTTTTCAACCATAGATTTCATTAATTTTTATCAAATTTACTAAGACATTTAACAAAAACTTTATCAAAAAGGACCTTAATCATTTTTCTCATGAAAAATATATTTGTTTGATAAATAAAAGATGATACATATTTGATAAAAGTTGATGAAATATGTAGTTAAAAAGTAAATAAATATTGTGGATCCTATGAAATATGTTGTTAAAGATTGAAGTTTGACAAATTGTAGTATTTCAGCAAAGTTTTATCAAACAGGCATCAAGTCATTAAGAAAATTTGGCTAGACTCGAACTTTCTCACATCTTTTGACATCACTATGTAAAATTAGCCCATGTTTGGTGTAGATTAAAATTAAATTTTAGTAGACTTTGATAAAAATTGATGAAATGTGTGGTTAAAATTTATAATTGACTTGAAACTTTAATCAACTTTTAATATAGTCCAAACACGGGCATAATATTATATGACCCATCTTGTGACACAAGTCTATAAAGTCCCCTTTTGATTCGATTTAAAATTTAGATTAAAATCTGAATCAAATTTAATAATTGATTTTAGTAATATATTGTATAGGATCCATAACTTTTCAACCATCAACGTTCATTAAAATATGCTAAAAATATGATTTTTATCTACACCAAACACGTAATAAATAAACAAAGAATACAATCAAAATCTTTAACAAACTGACAAATCTATATAAGCACTGCAAGTCACCCAACTTTAAGCATAGTTTCATTCATGTTATTCATCTTCAATTTGATACAATTAGATCACTTAGATTTGCCTGCACAACTAATGAGTAGAAGTTAAATTTAATAGAAGTTACATGACTTAATTTTACTAAATTGAAAAGTGACACGGATACAACTCATCTCAAAGTTGGATGTCTCACATAGCGTATAACCCACAAACATAGTACCAATACACCTATGTAATACCAACATCAGTCACCATCTAGGTTTTAGACCAATACCTCAAATTGATTGAAGACTAGATGACAATCCAATCATAGTAAAAAGTGAAATAGTAAAAAGTGAAAAACTATCACAAATTACTTGTTACATGATCTTGCATTCGGCTGTGGGATTTTCTTCAATATGACAAACACACTTTCTCAGATGGCAACCCCTCCCACAACCACAACAACAACCACAGCCACATTTACACTCACGCCCATACCCATAACCATAATAACTGTTGGAACACAACGGCAGCGGTGGGTACCCATGGTAGCATGGACCCCCACCATAACCATGTGAACATGGTTCACAACAAGTCCGTGCCGGTTGATCAAGTGTGATTCGAATATCGAGCCCCGTCACTGGTGTTGGAGGCAGTTGGTCTTTCTGTTGCTTATCACTCCCTTCCGTATCGGGCTTTTTTATTTCAATACTCTTGATATCTGTATCTATTATTTCAATACTCTTGATAACCTTTCCACCTTTGCAGCACAATTCGTCACGAATTTTTTTTGGGCTGCAGCATACTACATTGATTGTCACTGTATTTTGCTTCACATCAAATATCTGCCCTCTAATTTCTTTTGTTCCAAAACGTTTTACATCGAAGAATATAAGTCAGTTGTTATCCAAACACGAAAATATTTAATATTTGTTCTTGTTCAATAATAATATGGATGAATTTAAAGACTTACGAGGAATTTTACAAAGAATTGTTTTGATTTTCTTGTAGCAGGAAGGACATTGGAGATCAACCTTCAGCACCATCACAGTAACCTGATTGGACAGAATTGATGAAGATACTGAAAAGCAGTAGCTTCGAAAATGAAATATGAATAATATTTTGTGAAGAAAAATCCTAAGCCATGTTCATGTAATAGAAGTAGACATAAACACAGAGCTTAAAATTATTCTTACCTTCTCAGCCATGAGTAGATATATTCAGAAAAATAAGTTGATGCTATGGATGATTAAATAAGATGAAATAGACTTCGGATAGAGAGAGAGAGTGAAGAATAATATTGTACCATGTTGATAGAATATGAATCATTTCATTGTCCCAAATACGAATTTATACATAATTAGGATCCATTTGGCATGATTTTTACAAATCAAAAGCTACTTTTGAAACTAATAGTTGCTTTTGGACATCGCCGGATAATGTTCTAAAAATGCTTCCTTAGAAAGCTTTTCTAAAAGAGGTTGAAGCAAAAATAAAAACCTTGTACGGCATACATATATTATCCAAAATTCAAACTAATATTTATTTAAATTTCATCTGATACGACATCAACCTTGTGAAATCATCAAAAGTGTTTTACTCCACAGTATGGTAAGATAAGGCCTGTGCTTTTTCTTTTGCGAAAAAGATACTTTGTGTCGAATTCGAATCTTTGTCATGTGCTGGCTTTGATAGGCACAGCTTAACTTTCCAATTTTTATTTGACAAACTAACCTATAGTAATTTAAGGCCTCTTAATTAGGTCAGGTTAATTTAAAATTATAGATCATGCCCGCAAAAGGTACATTTCAAGAAATTAAAAATGAAATATGAATAATATTTTGTGAAGAAAAATCCTAAGCCATGTTCATGTAATAGAAGTAGACATAAACACAGAGCTTAAAATTATTCTTACCTTCTCAGCCATGAGTAGATAGATTCAGAAAAATAAGTTGATGCTATGGATGATTAAATAAGATGAAATAGACTTCGGATAGAGAGCGAGAGAGAGTGAAGAATAATATTGTACCATGTTGATAGAATATGAATCATTTCATTGTCCCGAATACGAATTTATACATAATTAGGATCCATTTGGCATGATTTTTACAAATCAAAAGCTACTTTTGAAACTAAGAGTCTGTTTGATTGGCAAAGGTGGAAAGACTTTCTAATTTAATGTCAGTCGGAAAATAAAAATCCAAGTACCCCATATGAATGCATTTTTCATGAAATTGGCAAAAAACAAGTTTAAAGTGATTGTATCTTGAAATTCGAATTCATTTTCACTTTGGTATCAAACAGCCAAAGTAGAAATTGAATTCCTCGAGTATGACATTTTTCATGGAATTTAAATCAATCGAACGAACTCTAATAATTACTTTGGGACATCTCAGGATAATTTTCTAAAAATACTTCGTTCAGGTAAAAATGTTTTTAGCTGAAGCTATCCAAGGTGCTTCCTTAGAAAGCTTTTCTATAAGAACCTGAAGCAAAAATAAAAACCTCGTACGGCATACATATATTATCCATAATTCAAACTCTTATATGACAATAAATTATTTTATCTAAATAATATTTATTTAAATTTTGTCTTCGAAGAAAATGCGTCTAATATGACATCAACCTTGTGATACCATCAAATGTGTTCTACTCCACAGAATGGTAAGATAAGGCGTGTGGCTTTTCTTTTGCGAAAAGGATACTATGTGTCGAGAGAGTAAATATCCCATCGAATTCGAATCTTTGTCATGTGCTGGCTTTGATAGGCACAGCTTAACTTTCCAATTTTTATTTGACAAACTAACCTATAGTAATTTAAGGCCTCTTAATTAGGTCAGGTTAATGCAAAAGTTACATTTCAAGAAATTGTACATGAAAATTTTGCAATTCCCAGTGCATGTTTGGAAAAACTTATAATTGCTTTTAAATTTGTCGAATTATATTTTTATCTACATATTGAGGGAAACGAAAGTGATATGTTCAATCGATTAATAATTTTTTGTTTGCCTCTCTCTTCTTACATGTTCCGCCGAATAGATGTCAATTAGTGGTCACGAAATCGAGCACATAAGAAAAAAAGCCATATGTGGATAATGAAGAACTATAACATTGAATTGCATGGGATGCCTTCATCCATAAGAAATTCTGGAGCTACTCATTATTAGTAATAAAACTCTGTGCAAAGTTTTCTTCCGTGATGAAAATGACAAAGAGATGTAACTTCAATTCCCTCATAGTCTTTAATTTATCCTATTTCGACAGAGAATATTGGCATTTCATATGAGAGTGGCAGCCAATTGCTACTTCCTAGTCCGGGCTTAGATAGAGCCTTAACATGATTAGACTCCAAGCTGGGGCTACAAATTTTTTATGGAAAAAATGCATAACTACTTGTATATAAAGATAGAGTGAAAGAACAAATTAGTCAAACACAAAACAAATTTCCCCTATTATATCATGGTACAACACCTAGACAAGAAGATACGAAATTTAAATGCAACATGTGCAACAAAGCAAAAATAAAAATAAAAATAATTATATAATGTATGGCATGAAAGAGGAGATCGAGGACAAGAGAATCTTAAATGGATTTAATTTCTGGTCTGCTCCAGTCATTCCTCAACACTTATCTTATACTCCTCTCTGCTTTGACCGTCACTGTTGACGTCAACACCATCGAATAACTGGCAGTATGAGAGTGAAGCAGCATCAATGGCCATTGCATCGATCTCATAATCCACATCATTTCATTTTAATTATAATGTTGTTTGTATATTGTAGAAATGTATGTGTCATGGATCACCCTTGTGGGTGACCCGACCTACAAATTATTAAAAAAAAAATTGGAAAGAGTAGTTTGAATAGAATAGAATTCAAACTCATAACTTCCCTCATCTCCCATCCACTTCCGTAACCTTGAAATAACTCCAGTTACTTAGAATTGCATGATGAGAGAAAAAAGATGGCAATAAAATGTTTTAAATTTGTATGAAAAAATATACATAAAGTAAAGAGTGTCTAGAACCATATATATGACATTAAAACTCACAAAAATTGGCACTTAAATTATGGATAATAATCCTTTTCCATTATAATCAGGATAGAGATAATTAGAGAACAAGAAAATGCATATTTTGGAGTTTGGAAAGCAAGGGGATTTAACAATTCAAAAATATCTTGAAATTCATCATTTCAAGATAGCATCTTGTCTCAAAATTCATGTTTAAGCATGCTTCGAATTCTTACATATACTTAAGAATTCGAAGCATGCTTAAACATGAATTCCGAGACAAGATGCTATCTGGAAATGATGAATTTCAAGATATTTTTTAACAATCATGCTACAAGTACACTAACTTTGACATTAAATTTGGCATTGTACCACGTGGTGACATCACATTGGGCAGTTTCTAAAAACAACACGCTTTCCCGTCAAACACAATTTGAATTTACACATGGTGTCACACTTGATGTCAAGAAAACAATGTACATGGAGCATTATTTGTAAATTTTTGATAATTTTGCATAGTTGTAATCGTATTATTATATTTGAAAGTCTGAAGTTACAATATCCAATTAACCACGTGGTGACATCACATTGGGCAGTTTCTAAAAACAACACGATTTCCCGTCAAACACAATTTGAATTTACTCATGGTGTCAAACTTGATGTCTAGAAAATAATGTATAAGAGGCTTTTTTCGTAAAAATTTGATCAAGAATGAACTTCAGAACTTTCAAAAACTGATTTTGATGCTATAAGAAAATTTCATCGACCCATTTAACATTATTTTCCCGCTATCTAAATTACCTCCAAAACTCGTGAAATTTGAACATCAGCCTAAATGTCTCACTAACCTAAAAAACTGGGGATCCAATTCCAACGTTAGAGATGCAAAACTTGTATTTTCCTTGTGCACCAACATTATAAAGGCGCCACTTCGTTCCAGTTCTTTAATGTCATATTCAGATTTTTCATTTTACAAGTAACCACCTCAAATGGAGAACCCCAACACCCACCTTCCCATACATCCAACACAAAATCTAAAAGATGTATTCGTGACTCACATGGACTGAATTCCAATTCGCTCAAACAAGACCTTGGTCTCCCGCAAGAGTGGTGATCATATGCAAACAGCTAGATAGATTTCTACAGTAGAATAATGATATTGAACGAATTTCTGTTTAAGAAAATGCTTTTATTACTTAAATAGCCCAAGCTTTGAGACCACTGTACAAATGGGATTTACCTATTTTTTTTAATGAAGTAAACCTCTCATTAATAATGGAATAGGAAAATTACAGTAGCGATCCCTAATGTTTTCAATTTTTGCATACTTTACCCGAACCTTCAATTAGTGACAGCGAAAGTGTCAAACCTTTCAAAAATATGGAGTTGAGGTCCAAATGGATGAAAACTATGCATTTGAACGTCAGTTGATCAAGAAAGTCAAAATTTGATCAATTTTGACCAAATTAATAGGGTAAAATGAAAACTTTAAATTTATCATATTAAAAAATAAACAAAAAATGAAAAAAAATAAATAGAAAAAAATAAAAAAGGTTGTCTCCTCCAAACCACTTGCCCTAAAAATTTTACTACCCTCATCCGCTTTCCTACAACCACCAGCAACGTCTGCATCACCGCCAGTCAACTAGCCACAGCTACCCATCTTACACGACCTACATAATGAACCGTCACGACTAGAAATGGCAAAAAAACTCGACAAATCCGATACCTGCGGAGCCCCACCCCGAAGGGGCCAGGATAACCCGCTTAAGCGGGCAACGAGGCGGGGACGGGGCGAGAAAGGGTAACGGGGGCCCCGCCCCGTTCCATTAATTTTTTGTTTATTTTTTTTTAAAAGTCAATACTTTAAATGAAAATTTTCATTAGTTTTAATAAAAAATAGCAATTAAAATTATTTGTCTAAATCTAATGAATATAGGCACTACAAATAAATTATCAAAAATTTAAAAAAAAAAATTTTAATGGGGAAAGGACCTACCCCCGCCCCGCCCCGCCTTAAATGTGTAACAGGGCGGGGACGGGGCGAGGAATTTCTTAGCGGTTGCCATCCTTAGTCACGACCACCATCAAACCAAAATCAATCTTCACCCCCACTATCAAACCTACACCCAAAACTAAAAACCCCACCCTACCATTTCTATAAATTGACTTGGGGGCGAAAAAGTGCCGGATGGG